TTCTTTCCTAACTCCAGCTACCCTGAATCATGAGTTATGAATATACTTGTTAACACGTTCAACATTATTCAAGACCATGTTGTTAATAAATCACAGTTATCTTTATTAAGATAGAAGTATCAAAATGACTACTATACATAACAAATGGCCAATCTCCACTTCCTACTACGCATTCAAACACCATTTCCAATCTAACAGAGCTTTTCAAATTATATTTAACTCTGAAAGTCTAAACTGGGTGGAGGAGGGCAGATACCAAGTCAAGAAATTTTACACATCTTATTATGTTTGCTCTTAAATGTATCCCATCTGAACCACCTTCTTCACCATTCCACTGTAGGTAACTTAGTGAGGCCTAATTAAGTTTGTGGGGTTGAAAAGGAGGGAAAATGTTGTTGTAGCTATAAAGAAGTTTTCACCAGGAATAAGGAGGCACATTTACTTTGAACAGCATCTACCTTAATTTCTTTACATGCCAAGAAGAGAAATTAAAGCAGAGGCGGTTATTCGCAGCAGCAGTGGTAAGCATAACTGGTATATTGTCAAAATGTACCTTCAATATTGCTCCATGAACTAGGTAAACGTTCCATTGCTAGGAATTAAAAATTCAAGGACAGGAAAGACTAAGAATTCACATCTAAGGAAATATATGAGAATGGACATCCAAATTCTACCAGTATACTTGTTGCTAGGCAAAACAGACAAATACAGACTATATAAATGGATATATTATGATGAACAGTCTGAAAGATCATGCAGTAGATATCCACCCTCTAACTAAATGACACAAAACAAATAAATGTTAATTTTGATGGGAACTGACCACTACTCTGGGGCTTCATAGTCCATGAATTTCCCCAAAAGCACAGATTTTTATAAGCAGGGAAAGAGCTGGAAATCTACTGCAAGGATAAAGTACAAATTAATGAGCAGAGAATAGGAATGTTTTGGCTATTTAGTTTTTGCTTCAAATTCTTTTCAGCTATCGAATAGTAACATTTGATGCAAAACCATATTAAGCGCAGATACTAATAACTAGGTTAGAGGAAGCATTATTGCCAGGGCATTATGGCCAGCTATAGTCAGTTGCCTAATTTCTCCAGGTGACTGACTGATGTTGAGACTCTTGTGCCGATTGAGAAGGAATGCCTCATGACAGTCTCAGCATGCAAAAAATGTCCAAATTTCTTGTTCAGATTAGATTCCTAACCTCACTTCTGACTGACTACAAACCTCTCATACCCCTCGTAAACAGCAAGTGCTTGCACTGTGTGCCAGTGAGATGTCAAAGACTCAGTCTAAGCTCGTTGATGTACAATCTGCGGTGAGAATACATGCCTGCCAAGATTCTGTTGCCGATATTTTGTCTAGACATTTTCTGAATGTGACTGATGCAGGGACATTGCAAGTAGTTGAGGAAACTGAAACTTACAAAAGAGCTCTGCAAGCCTTAAAGCCATCATACAATATAATGCAAGTGTGCCTGAAAACATCCAAACTTTCCTTCTGGAGAACAGTAGCCTCACTGGCTCTGATAGCATCTTATTTCCTGAAGACAGGGCAGTTAACCCAGCAGAAATGCAGAAATGTATCCTTATATGAGACACCATTAGGCCCCTTGGATATTACTGAACGTCGTCAACAACTAAAGATGTCTGTCTGGTGGCTAGGAATTAGGAGACAAATCCAAGTGATTCGGTTTCTTGACCAAACCAGCAGTCAGGGACACATACCCTATTTAAGAAACCATTAATATTTCTCTGCTGTCAGATTTGGAAAGTGGGCCATAAAGGGTGACCCTTATGAGCTAAGGGACAGAAGCACATGGTTATAGTTGACTACTTTACTAGATATTTAAAAACCACACATTTACCTGATGCTCTTTGATCATGTCATGCATAGACGAATGTGATGGTGAGAAAGTCCACATCAGACTGCATGGTGGGAAAGTCCATGTGAAATTGTTACAGTGGGCCATAATTTTGGGGGGAATAATTATTATTTACTGACAAGTAATACTTTTGCTACATTAAAAATAGCCTTCACCCACCTAAGGATGGTCCTGTGGTTAGGGCACTAGCCTAAGACTTGGAAGATGTGGATTTAATTCCTTATTCTGTCATAGACTTCCTGTGTGACTACAGGTTAGGCACTTGCCTCTCTATGCCTCTATTTTCCATCTGTAAAACGGGGATAATAATACTCTACCTCTCAGAGGCGTTGTGAGGATGAATACATTAAAGACTACGAAGTGCTTTGATATTCACTGATGAAAAACTATAAGAGGTAGGTATTACTTGTTGTTGTTGTTTTTATTAGGCCAAGGATTAGATAATAATGGTAAGGCCAAGAAAGCCAGGTAAGGGGTTAAGCAGATCCAAAACCAAGACAGTCTGCTTTTAGCTTTAGTCAGTTACGGTCTGATCCAACTGCTATTAATATAAATGGAAAGACTTCTGTTTGACTTCAGTGGGAGTTGGATTATTAATCCATGTCACTGAGTGCAGCCCAGCATCCCAAAGGGAAAAATCTAAAACAAGTCAAATAGCATAATAGAAGAGCAAAATATGCATATAAATTTCACTTTGACAAAAGGAATGCTGTTAAGACACTTCTTGAGTTGTATCCTGGTGTCTTGAGAGCAAAATTGGATAGTGATATAGGTTAGATAACATACATGCCAAACTTCTAGGTTTTACAAAGCCAAGCCCAAGGTAAATAAATTCTGGAAGAACAGAACATATTTGCAGCTCATCCTACATCCAAGAAATGGCTTTCTACAACTTAGCACTCTAGAGTCAGTGTTACCCAGAGACTTAGATTGTAAGCTCTTTAGAGAGGATCCTTCTTCTGTGTTTGTACTCACCCTAGCACAATAAGGTACTGGTCCATGATTAGACCTTCTATGCACTACAGTATTACAAATAAATAATAATAAGTAAGGACAATTCTGCTATAGAGGAATTATAGACAGAACCAGCATCGCAGCCAGACTTGCCACATTGAGATCATTAGATAGTGTCATTAATAACGGATTCCTTTTTAAACGCTGTGATCAAAATGTCCAGAGAATGAATGATCAGGAAACCTGAATATTGGAGAAACTCTTATATCAATGCCAGATAGGGCAAAATAATCTCCATTGTACTTGAAGTCAAAGAGTTTCTCTCTTCTCACTTTGTTTAATACTGTATTATGTTAATTGCAAATGGTTTAAGAGATAGCATTGCCAACAACTCAAAGTTTAAAGGAAGTGTGTGTGGGAGACCTATAATTAAAATATCCTGGTTTTAATTCTACTGAGAATTTCTGATCTTATAAGTGTAAACTATTTTTTTCAACAATACCCTACTACACAGCTTGAAAGTTCAGAGAGTGGGAAAGAATAAAATTTAAAATTAAATAAGCTCTAGCTGAATTTTAAAATATTAAAATTTTAAACAATATAAGCTTGCTAACTCTTCAATAGGAAAAGCCCAAAACAAAAGTTCTGCATTTGTAAAGTACAATGAAAAATTAACATATGTAAAAATAGATCTTATTAGATATAGACAGTTGTTTGGGTCAAGCCCACACCTGCCTACTGTCAAAACTGAGAATATATTTAGCCATAGCATGCACTGCAAACACCTGTAACTGGCACTTGGCCTTAAACACAAAAATTCTCTTCTTTAAATAGAAAAATGGAATAGTTGCTCCTACCCCACCAGGAAAATCTACATCCTGATTAACCTTAGGGTAACAGTATCACAAAATCTTGCATCTGGCACCTGGATCCCAGCAAATCACATAGGTTTTAGGCTCTAAATTAAAAAATTCTACCATCTAAAAGACAGCAAGCATTATCAGCAGCTAGTGTAGTAGAAGTAGTTACACTTGTGCTCTATTTAGTTGGGAGAATTTGAGTTTGAGCCCAAAAATTAATGGCATTGTGCTAGTACAGGTTTCTGCTGTGCTCTTGCATCAGGGTCTAGACTTTTATGGTGGCCTGGCAATGGTATAATGCCTTGTCTAATTCTGTCATCTAATTTGAGGATTCAGCAGAGAAACCACTGGGTCCAGGTGCTGCATATGAGGTTTGTCATTGTATTGCACCTGGATACATCAGGATCTGTTTTTTCCCCCCTGGTGGACTAGGTGCATTAACATCTGTCTGTTTAGGCTGTATGATCATGGAGTTCAGGGATACAATTTTTGGATTCAGCATGGTTGAAGTGCTGGATATGGGTTTTCCCAATGGTCTTATGGCATGATAGTAAGATCTGGATCTTTGCGCTGAACTGCAGTGAGAAACAGTTCTTGTCTAAACCGACAGGTGCACTGGTGGGATTGGAGGAAAAAACTGGCTGAATCTGGTTGCCAAATGTGTGGTTTGTGGCACTTTTACCTCACCCGTGTTAGGCTCAAGATTATTCTGGTGGCCAGGTGTGGCAAGCCATGTTTCCTATTTTGACAGTATGTTTTGTAGTCCGCATTATATTCTCCTATATTTTGCTTCAGGAAAACCATGTTTAACAGTTCTGTTGACACAAACATGGCTGCTGTGGCCTGTTCAACTATAAACAATAAACAGGCCAGAGGAGTTTTTTTTAAAAATTTATCCAGTATTGCTGCTGCTTTATTGGTGACCAGCTCTTTTCAATGTTACCCATTTAATGACAGGTTTCAGAGTAACAGCTGTGTTAGTCTGTATTTGCAAAAAGAAAAGGAGGACTTGTGGCACCTTAGAGACTAACCAATGAGTCACAAAACGGCAAGTTCTTTTTTTCCCACCCACAAAGTCGCCTAATTATGATGCTCTCGTGGGGGAAGTGGGACTAGGGAGCCCCATGCACAAGGGAGCTGAAACGCCTGGGCCAGAACATTGCAGGCTGGCCAGTGACTCTCCTGCCAGAGCTCCCGGAGGCACCTCCAGCCACTTACCAAGTGCACACACAGGAGGGAGCAGCTTAGGCTGGGACGCTCCCGCAGGCTGGAGGGCGAAGGTGAGGGCAACTTACCAGGTCTATGAATGTCAGAAATTTCCAGCTCCCTCCATAGGTCTGATGCGCTGGCATGTCAATGGCGTTGTACGCGCACAGGATGGAGAAGTAGGAGAGGAGGATGGCGACTCGCAGCACCTGGCAGGGCACGAGCGCCATGTCGCCACTTTGCAAGCGGGGCCTGCGAACTGCAAGGCAGCGGGGTCGCGCTTCCCGCGCGGGGCTGCCGCGGCGGCGCGCGGGCGGCGCGCGACGGTCGGCCCGGGGAGGAAGCGCGAGCGCGCGCCTGGGTCTCCCCCTTGTTCTGTGCGCGGGGGACGCGCCCGGCCGCGGGGAGAGTGGGCTCAGCCGGAGCTCCTCAGGCAAGAGGGTGCTTCCTGGAGCAAAGGTGGGCGGGGAAAGGAGGAGATGCTGGAGGAGGGGTTACCATGGCAATCTACTAAACCTGCCCTGAGCTTGCTGCTGCTGCTTCAGCGGAGACACCCCTGGAGCAGGTGACCCCTCCGCCTCTGGGGCTGTGTGAGTGTGACTTGTATATTCTTCTTGCCAGCGCTACAAAAAGCGAGCATGAGGTGACATGCAGAAATAAATATGGGCAGGGTCATTATCCTGTAGAGCCTTGCATTTTCACCCACGCTGCCCCTGCACTTACATGACCCAGGCTGACTACAGAGTCTGAGCACCTGTTCACAAACGCCGGCGTACACCCATGCATACACCTGAGCACACGTGCACATGCTTACATGTAATACAGAAACTTGCTAGCATGCATGCACACATCCTCACACACACGTGCATGCCCAAGCTTGTGTGTACACACAGACACACACACTTGTGCACACATGCTCAATGATACACAAGCACACAAATGAATAAATGCATTCATATTTTATGTTCACACACAAACATGCTAACACCATCTTGCTCTCACATCCACACATAAAGAAGAGTGGATGAGTGTTTGTGAATATGAGATGATGTACCCCTGTGTCCATGTAAAATAAACAAACATATTTTTAAATGCATGGTTGTATGTATTGCTTTTGGTCTTACGAAATGGTAATTATGAACCTCTTAAAAATGTAGATTTATTTTTCTTGTTTACAGATCAAATTTTAAAATATCCAACCATAATAAAATGGTGTTTTGCATATCTGCTTTTAGAACAACTGTAATTCCATGCAGGCAGTATTGCCTGAATGTTTTAAAGATTGCTTATTTTGTTTTAGTCTGGGAGATTAGAGCACAATAGATGTATATATGTGATTCAGTAGTGTAGAGAACCAGTGACACCAGTTTTGTTTTTAAACTTAAGTCACTGTTTTATTAAATACTAGGATCTCCTTCACCGAGAAGGATATAAATTACATACATTCCCAGTTTGCCTTCCAGTAAGTGTTGTGGGATATCAATTGCATCAGACTGTGGGCAGCAGATATTTTTTTAACAGGTCAGATGACTAAATTTTAGCCAACCAAATATGGGGTCAATTTATGAAAAGACAACACAGGCATTTCCTGTGGTCCATTTAAAACAGGTGTCCACTCCAAACAGTCTGTGAGTCACAGGGTACTTCTGTAGTGGGGGGCTTGAGTGAAATAAATAATTTTTTGTTCATTGTCCTGTTGCAGAGAATTGGAGTTGAACAGATGGACAAAAGATTAAACCTTCTAAAAATATAAATGTGTTCTAAGTGTCTGATTGTGCCACTGAAGTCTTTACTCTTCTGCTATCCCTTGATGCAAAGATGATGTCTGCCAAGGGGGTTCATTGGTGGGTTTTTAAGTGGCTGAGGATCCCAATTCATGCCTTGCAGACTTTCCCACGGAAGTGAGAGGTGTAATCTTGGAGGAGACATAGTTGTTGGCTGGACCGTTGTGCCCTTTCTTTCTCCCTTTCTTGCTTCTCTGTCTCTGAACTCATGTTCTCCTCAAAGTGAGCTGTGGCGTGGTGTATGGTTTGGCGCCACTGTGTTCTGTTCTGCGCCGAGTCCTCCCAGTTTGTTGGGTTGATGCCTCCCTTTTTAAGGTGTACTTTCAGTATGTCTTTGCAGCACTTAATACTAACTTTACCATTGACTTTAATGATTACAGGATCAAGCCCTAAATATCCCTTAGGTAAATGTAATGCAGCATCGAATAATAGTCCCACACTTGTACTATATAGTAAGTCAGACTTCCCACCTATGCTTCTATAAACCAAATTTTTGAAGGAAAGAAAGTGCTAAAAGTGTGCTCTCTATAAGCTCCTCAGAGCAGGGGCCCTGTCTCCATCTGTGTATTTTATTGCACCAAGCACTGTATCTGTACTTAAAAAAAAAATTAATAGTATTTTTATGATATATGATAAAGATGAGAGCAAAACAAAATGGCCTTGTATGGACTGATTTATTTTAACACTGTCACGGGGTAAGCTAGGGTTTTAAGGGGTTTGAGTCCCAGCTCTGGCCTGTGCATTGGTATCTCCCTCCCCACTCACATGCTTTGAGAGGGGTCATGTTACTGCAGGCTAAAAAAGGCAGCTTTCCCTCCCTATGGGGAAGACTAAGGTTGAGGCAATATATCTGGGCCATGCTGGTCCAGAGAGGAGGCCTGGAATGACCTGGGAAAGAGACGGATGTTCAGGAGGAAAAGGCCTGCGAAGAGGCAGGACATAAAAAGACCCTGGGATAGGAGAATTAAGAGAAGGACAGTGCCTGGGGTAATAATGTGAGCTGAAGGTCTCATGTTGGTAACAGTCTTTGCTTAGGGACCACAGGAACTTCTGGAGAGGGTAGGAGAAAACCCCTTTCAACTCCCTGTGTCAGTCCAGGGCAGACTCTAATGAAGAAAGGACTAGAGGCAGAGCTGGAGGTGGACAAAGAAGAGATTACTGAGGCCTGGGGAGGGCTGAAGAGGTTTTTGTATTTGGACTTTTCCCTCACCCTGAATGGGCAGGCCTCTTAATGAGTTTGAATGGAGGAGTAAATATCAAATGAGTCCGCCAGCCCAGGAGGGTTATGGTTGAGGGAGGAAAACAGGCAGCAGCTGTGTCTGGGCAGGCTGAGATAAACTACTACTATTACTACAGACACCATGTGTACAGACCTCCCTTTACAATCAATACCTGAACAAACAATAAGGACTTGGTGCTCTTTCCAGTTATACTCTTGGAGGGAAGCAGAGAACTGGTGTTGGGTTAGGAGAAGCAGTAGCTCTGTGACATGCTCCCTGCCCTTACAACAATCAGCGGAGGCCTCTTCATCATGCAACCTTGGTATTTGAGCTCTGCAGTGTGGGAAGGGATACTTGGGGAACTGCCACTCTCTGTGACATGCTCTGTGGGATCCTGGTAGATATTCTAGAGAATTAATGCAGCTTCAAGATCTCGGTCTGTACACCCCTTGAGAAGGGAGTTTGGCTTAGGTATGGACAGGGAAACCAATAGAAGCATGGCTTCAGCAAGTGCCATGCTGCCCTGGGAGTACAATAGAGGGGATTGATTTCATGCACAGTATTCCTGGGATCTGCAAGATTTACATACAGATTATCGAGCTGTATAGGGTTTAGATCTTCTATCCCCTGCTTTCCTCATCGGTCCTTAAGCCCCTCCCCAATTAGGGAGCATGCAGCAAAATCTTTGAGAGTCTGACTTCCAAGTGTTTTCTATGGACTTTTCTCTTTTCAGTCCAATAAAGATGAGTATTTTACTGGTTTCCCCTTTATCTTGCTGTATACCTGTAACTTACCAATGGTTAAAACACTTAAAATGTAAGTAACTTCTAACCAATGTGCAAATCATGAAAAGATACATATATACATGTAAAGTATGATGATATATAGGGCTGGCCCTAGAGTTTTGAGGGCCTGGTATATAAACGTATTGTCCAGGATCTCAACTGGATTCCCATGATTCAAACACAGTAGCTCATCTGTAGGTGAGAGAGTTTGGCAGCGTGTTGGGTCATTTTTGTCATTCAGGGGGTAGGGAAGGGATTTAGAAACTGGGGGAGGAGAGTCAGGGGGGTTGCTATTTCTGGCATGGGAGCAGGTTGATAGGTTCCATCTATTAGAAGAGTTTTGTTAAAAAGCTTGTCAACAAAAGTAGGGAATGGTTGAGTGGGCCATTGATTATATGATATTCTGGATACATTCTAGGAAGGGGGTGCTGCCACAGTGGGTCTTCCATGTTAAACGTGCAAGGCCCTCTGAGGCTGCACACTCAGCAATAATAATGTGAGCATGCTGTTTTACTATTTTGGTAGTATCAAATGTAACTTCTTAGTCTCCATGTTTTAATCAGTGTTTACATGGCTTTAACAGAACCACGTTCTTGGTGTGATTTTCTTTATAGGCGCATTCAGTGAATTTCTGGGCAATATTAGGAGTCGTGAAGGTAAAATACCCTCTTCAGTAGAATTTGGCGGTAGATGGTATTTGCATGCTGACTTGAGATTTGGGCAAGGGAGTTCCTTTTCTTTTTTTTTCTTTTTTCACTGTATTAGGGAACGGTGAGTCTAAATGGAAATGTATTTACAGGGTACTCTGCTACATTCCGTTTGCCTCCCTCAGTGAGTAGTACACAAACTGTTTGAATTCATAGGAAATTTATTAGAATTGTCTCATCACAATGTGTTCATGCTGATGCTCCTGATGATATTGCCATTTCTAGTGCCTGAGGCTGAGTGCATGTAATCTGCCAAAGCAAACTCTCTTGGAAAATGGTGAATACTACACTTCAGTTTGACATGAGTGGAGGTGGGGAAAGGAAGATTTTCTTACAATGGACACAAAAAGGTGTTTGCTGGCCATACTAGAAGTGAAAAAGGCACTCAGAAAAAGCCTGCTACAGTGAAGACAATTTTTAGAACTATTACATGTCAAAGATACTTTATCTAATGACAAAATCCTGCTATCTTTACCTGAGTAAGGGTAATGGTACTTTTTGTCTGATTAAAAAGTGCAGGATTTGTCCCAATGTCATCAGCAAAGCTGCTCACCTCATTCACCTAATGAAACTTGACTTCAAAGTCTACTGTAATTGGGGCCATTTAAATCTAATATTAAGTATTAGATCAAATATAAAGAAGTTATCTTTCTCTTTACTTTTCTTAAAAGAAAACAAGAAAATGCACCCTGTAACGCTGTGAATGTTTGCCCAAAGTGGAAGGCAGGAGAGAGGGAGAAGGTTGGCTATGGTGCTGCTATATGAAAGTTTAGTTTGTTTAATTTTTCTCTTCAGTATCTAAACACTTGGTTCATGTGATGCTGTTTACATATGCAATGACTGAGCATGTTACTGGTAATGTAATTAATGGATTCACTATCTGTCCCAAGAGCACAGATGTCAATCAAATATGTTTTGCATTGGTACGGTACAGTATAAACATACACTAA